TTTCCAATCCAATTTCAGGGTTTTTCAGTGTTGCCTTGCAACTAAGATTCTTGCCGAGATCCGAGACAGACGGCGTATAATTGTACACATAGGAATGACTCTGAACACTATCGTAAGGAATTTGTGGTTCATCCACATAGAGTGTCTCATTTCCACGAAGCCACTCAATTACTATCCTTTCCAAAGGGTAAACATTGTGGACCGTGCAGTTGAGCGTCTGTGTTTGGTTTGCTATCAAACTCTTTATTTTGGCCAGTACAGGATCTTGTGGAAATGCTGCAAACAATACACTTCATCATAACAGCATTCAAATCATTTACACATGTTTTTTTTTTTTCACTCCCTGTTAAAATCATTAAACAATAAAAACATTTTTACCATAGTTGAAGAAACACTATTAATGTTAATTTGCTAGTCTAATTGATTCCAGTTTGATAACATTTGTATCACTTCTTAGACAAGCAGCATTAGTCAGTCATTACAAAATTAAAGTACAACAGCAATTGGAACAACAATAAAACTTGTTTAGGAATGTAATCATTAAATAGTAACTTAACAATAATTATATGAATAGTTAAAGTGAATAATTGTGGTCAAACTGGAGAAAGTAGGTATTAATAACAAGCAGCATAGCCAGTACAGAAGAGGATAAATAAATCCTAGTTACTTGTAGGCTTACTGTTAGTCTAATTATAAATGTTAAAATGCCTTATCCATTAACTCAAAATCATGTCGAACTGGAGAAACATTACTTACAGAATACGTGTATTACTGACGTATTCTCTTTGTAGTTTCCCCCACAAAAAGCTTTACACACGAGTTTAATATTGTGTTGAATTGTGATATTCCTGATCAGCTGGCGGGAAACAGTCTGCTCATTTTTAGATATTCCTCCGTGAAAGGTGTCCAGTAACGTTCTCCACTGGAAGATCACATTACCTGGACAAGCATTCACGCGACAAGTCAGCTCCAAATCCGCCCCAACATGATTTACTGACTTTAGTGGGGTTAAGTGTACTTTAAAACCATTTGTTTCTGTAAAAGAAATTATGCAAAATAAATGTCTACTGTCAAAATTATGAAATGTGGAAGGTTAAAATTCATTAAACAGAGTTTAAGAGTCTTCTTACCTGTTATTACACTGTGAATATTAATCCACAGTGCAAAAGTTATGCATTTCACTCCACACATCTTTCTTTCGTTTCTGCGTAATTCAGCATGGGTTCAGAATGTTGTTGGATATTCCCAGACCCCCCCTTCCTTTTTACTTTCTGTTTCTTCAACAAAAACAAACCCATTTGGCTCACTTGTCTGTCAGACTTCAAGCCACACACTCTAAAAAATGCTGGGTTGTTTTAACCCAATTTTGGGTCAAATATGGACAAACCCGAAATGTTGGGTTAAAAATGTAATGTAAAAATTTAACCCAACGGCTGGGTTAGTCCATATTTGACCCAAAGTTGGGTTAAAACAACCCAGCATTTTTTAGAGTGCACCTGCTCACATTTTCCCTTATATTCTCCAAATTGTGCATATAATAAAAATCCTACTTTAATTTCTAACCTCCAATAACCGTAGATAATACTATACAATAAGGATCCATTTGTTAACATTAGTAACTAAATTAGTTAGCATGAACTGTGATTTAAATATATATATATATATATATATATATATTCTATATATTCTCTTTAACCTTTTATTAACTGACAATAGAGCAAAGGAAAAATGTCCAATGTTCACTCACCAACTTTATTGTATTTTGTGTATATATATATATATATATATATATATATATATATATATATATATATATATATGCTCTATTGTCAGTTAATAAAAGGTTAAAGAGAATATATAGAACATATAATATATATATATATATATATATATATATATATATATATATATATCTCTTTTCATATAGATTACATAAACAGAGCATATTTGTTTTTGTTATGAATTCAACCATTTAAAAGTACACTTAAAGGATTCTAAAGATATTTAGCTAGTGCCTGGGCCGATAGTATTCGCGGAGTTTGATTTAAGTTTTTGATTTAAGAGCAAGATATTTTTGGCGTCCTTCCTACATGATTCGGGAAAAGTGTAACTTATCAGCTGGCTCTGACGGTCGTTAAGAAGATGGGACGTAATGAAAAGCCTGTGGTCGTTGTGGTTTCTCCTTTGGTGGCCAGTAGCACCTCAATGCAGAACATGAGATCCACGGGGAGGAGTCGGATCACGATCCAAGGGGTGGAGATGGGTAGGATTAGGGTTGGGTTTAGGGATTAGGGGTGGGTTTAGGGGTGGAGTTGGTTAGGTTTAGGTGTATGTAAGGTGGGAGGAGTTGGATCTGGATCCGACTCCTCCCCATGGATTTCATGTTCCGCAGTGAGGACCATCTCTTGGTGGCACTAATGGAGAAGTAAGTAAAAGAAGCAACACTCGTTATTTCATTTCTAAAATAAATAAAGTTAGGCTACGTTCTGTATTTGAAAACTGCGCTATGCAAAGGAGTTGACTTATGCGTTGCTTTGATTGGTTGTAGGTCTACCGACTATCCAATTGAGTGCAGAGCTTTTTTTTTGTCCTGGTTCGGTTACGACACGCCTCATAATCAAAGCCCAATGGAGGAGTTTCAGACTCATATTTTTTCTTGAATATGAGTATGACGAAGTCAGGCTAGTAGGTCACTGGCCGCAAATCGACAGTGTGCGGCAACGCTGCAAATTCCCTACGTGCACGGGCCACACTAGCTTCAAGTGTACAAAATGTCCTATATCATAAAAAAAAAAAATGTGTTCAATTTACGGTAAAATACCGGCAGCTGTGGTTGCCAGAAATTTACCATAAAAAAAATACGGTAGCAAGAATTTACGGTAATAAGATTTTACAGGCTCATCGTAAAATTTACGGAAATAAACCGTATTTAATTATCTGATTTACTGTTAAATTATTGACCATTTGAAGTGTTAATATCTGTTTTATACCATTGTTATAAACTGACATCCATCAATCACAGCAGTAATGAGAGTCACATGATATATGGAAACTCATCACATGTAGCTCTTTCACAAGAAACTTAATATTAACATATAGAAGCGGCACAGTGTCGTTCACTCAATCATTAAACACCATCATGGTAACACACATGAAATTTTAAAAAGGCAATAAACATTAATTTAACAACATTAAATGTCACATAAACAGTGTTGGGAGTAACGCATTACAAAAGTAATACATTACAGTAACACATTACTTTTTGCTGTAACGCAGTAGTGTAAGGCATTACTAATCAATTTTCAGTAATATTTTACTCGTTACATGTTCAGTGAGGCTTGTATTACAGTTGTATTACAGTGTATTGTCTGCTTTTACTTCTTAAAGGCAACAGACTATGTGAAAGTTTTAAAGCAGTCTTTTAGTGCCAGTTCAGAGCGGTCGCGTCTGTAACATTGTTTTTTCCTCATAAATGCGAACACGAAAACTAAAATAAAATGAATATTTTAAGTTCTATGGAGACTGGAGAGCCAACCCTTCCTCATCCGATTTGCGCAGTGTAATTAACAGAATTACAAAAAATATATTTTGCCTCCTATTTTTATTGTTTTTGTCACGCATGAATGTGTGTCTTTTCCCTAATATTAAAAATAAAACAGACTGATATTTGTCTAATGTCTGGAGTCCTTTGAGGAAGTAGCCTATATGTTTCAATACATATTTTCTGAGAATTTTTATTTCAAGTTTTGACTGCAAATGTCATGTCCATAATGCTCCTTAACTAGTTTTGTGGTGTAGGTCTACGTATTTTATAATGTTAACTTCAAATAATACTAATAGCCTAATTTATAGATAAGGCAGCATTGGATCTGGACGGTAAGGAGAATATCGCTGGGAGTTGGAAGAGGTGTGTCGCGATTCTGTAGGTTCGTGGATGTGGCGAATCGCGATTTCGGTTTCATATTGCATATCGTTACAGCCCCAAAGTTATTCTACTTAGTTATTTTGGTGAAAGTAACTCAAAAGTAATACATGAGTAATGTAACGCATTACAATTCTGAGACAGTAATATTGTAAGGTAATGAATTACTTTTAAATAATAGTAACAAGTAATACCTAATGTATTACAGTTTGGAAGTAACTTGCACAACACTGCACATAAAACCCTAATGTACCTAACTGATTAGAAAAAGACTAAGCAAACTATGAAGAAACAAGTTATTTCAGCAAAAATGCATGTGGAGTGTGGAGTGTCAGGCAGGGAATTGTGGGAATGTCAATTTACGTTTTTTCACTGTAAATTATACGATGAGTTGTTCATTTTCACTTTAAAAACTGTAAATTTAACAGTATTTTACAGTAAAATTACATGAAATTTACCATAAGATCTATCACAGTTATTTACCATATATAGTAAGGAAAGGTTCTGTTAACCAATTAATAGTTTTTCACTGACACACAGTCTTTTACTGTTAAAATCACGATCATTTTTTACAATGTATTTGTGTTGGTGACATGAAAGTGGTCATAATAATTCTTAATATTAAATATCTGCTGTTGCAGATTTATATAAATAAGTAAAACAAAGGCTGAATAAATAAAACATTGTTTTTTCACTGTTATTTTACTGTTTTTTTTATCTTATTATTGGCCATTATGCCCGCTGTTGCAAATTTACAACATACCAAAATTTCAATTTATTTATTGTGCAAAAGTGAAATTGATAATCTCAACATTATTTGCCATCTACTTAAAGGCAAAAAATTTTAATATATATATACAGCTATATAAATTCAGGCGTTAAGAGGTTAACAAATCACAAATTCTATTCCATAAAAAATACATTACAATCTATTACATTAAAATATTACATATTTTATACATTTTACAAAATGTCCCAAAACTTTTCAGGAATTGGTGTTGTGTGTATAAATACAACCCCAACCCCTATATATACATAATATTTGTTTTACAGCACAAAGAATCACCACCTCACAGCCTTTACAAATGAAGAGATCTCTGTAATGACAGCGCTTTATTGCATCTAAAGTATATTCCAGTTATTAAGGTATTTTGCTTATTAGTTATCTGTACAAAATGTTTTAAAAATCATGATTTCTGTACAATCATATTACTAAACATAACTGAATCAGTAACATAGTCATGTGATCATACTTGTATATTTCTTCAACCACACATTCACGCACTCATGTACAAACACGCTGCTAAGATTTTCATTACAATTGTGACTTCCTACAAAATCATGAGCTACTGTAATGGTAGTCACAAACAAATACCAGCAGATATGTTTGATTTTTCATGAAGAAAAAAAAATAAATTGCTAAATACATTTGTGAATAATACATCAGACTTACAGATATTATTTTCTAAATTGAAACACTGTATAAATGAATTAATGAACACGTTACACCCAGTGTATGTTTAACATTTTATCAGCTTTTAGGAGAGATCCGTCCACAGGATGGGTCAGCTGCGGTCATCAGCGTATAATTACAGCCTTAGTACTGAGCATATTCAGACTGAAGGGACTGTGGAAAGAGACATTGATATTAAGAAACTGATATGAAAGGACATGTGCAAAGCATGCTGGAATTGAGTACAATCTGAACAGATTTTAAAACAAAGGGGTTACAGATACTGGGGGTCACATACTACCGGATTTTCAAGTCATTCCAAACACACACACACAAAAAAAAACTTGCACCTCATTGCTTGGAGATGCAGGACAATGATATCCTCATACTAGAGAAATTCATAGTTTAAGGCTAAAACATCAAAGTCTGTGACCATCATACAGAATGTGATTTCTCTGTGAGATTTGGATTTATAAACAGAGGGAAATGGAATTGGCTTTAAGAGCACACTTGAATTAAAATTATCTAAAGGTATTTCGTAGTACGAAATGTATAGGAATAGATCACTTAGGACCTAAGGCTGATAGGTCCTTAACTCAATTGGTAGTGACCTAGTTTTTTTCTTCTTCTATTGTCATAGTTTTATTTTGCCTCGTTTTATTTATTTACTCTCGTGCCTTGCCTGTGTATCTTGTGCCTTGTCTTGTTCATTATGAGTCTTGTGTTTAGTCTTGCCTATCCTAAGTTTTCCTGGCCACTGATTCTAACTGTCCCGCAGCCAAAACTGGATCTACTTCTCAAGACTCAGGTTCCTTGTGTTACTGCCTGGTCCTTCCCACCATCATCCCGTCTGGTGCTGTCTCCCAAGCTGTCCTCTAGTCCTAGTCACCCAAGACTGGTCTCAGTGTTCACCCTGTCCTATTGGACAGGATAAACCCTTCACTGTTATTCTGCACTCTCTTGCAGATCCATGACAGATCTTGACACAGGGTTAATTCATGTATGTTTCAAGTGCAGAAGCAGCAGCATGTCTGTGCTTTTATTGGCAGTAGCAAGTTTGCCGAGAACAAATACATTAACATAGCCATATTACCATGCCAATCTTTCTGAGAGTTGTCATTACAGAACTTAAGGTAGGGTCACATTAGCAAAATGTCAGGTCCATTGTTTGTCCATAGAGCATCACAGTCCCACCCACAGCCGGTGCTGGAAGTAAAAATTCAATACAATTTCTCCATTGACATTTGAGATATAAGCCATAAAAACCCCTCTACAGCATAGTGTTGCCCTCAGAAAACAGAAAGTTTTCTTAAGCCCTATGTTCAGTAAATTTTTCTTTAAATGATTGCAACCAATTAGAAAGTTTGAAAAAGTATCAAAGAACAGTCCAATAAGGTTTGGGAGTCACCATCAAGCACCATTTGAAGGTGGGAAGTCCTTTTCTGGCACATGGTCACAGGAGCACATGTTGTGAGTTGAAAGCAAGATTATGTGCTTTAGTGATCTTCTTTAAAATGACATTAACTGTATATAAAAAATATGTGTGTCTCTATGAAGGTGTAGAAAAGCCTTCTGGCAGGTTTTATTATGTTTTTTTTATTTTGCATGTTCACAAATTCAGTTTTTCTTTTTGTTGCCTCAAGGCAACGTTGTGCGATAAGGGGTACTTTTCAAGAAATTTTTTAACAATACTTTACAATGGCAAATAATCTGTTACACGAAGGAAAGATGCAGGGTTCCTGGGTACAAAGGAACACCCAAAGTGACACTGTTCCCACAAAGTTGGGAGCATGACATTGTCCAAAATGTCTTGGTATGCTGAAACATTAGGAGTTGCTTTCACTGGACCTAAGGGGCCAAACTCAACCCCTGAAAAACAACCCCGCACCATAATCCCCCCTCCACAAAACTTTACACTTGTCACAATGCAGTCAGGCAAGAAACGTTCTCCTGGCAACTGCCAAACCCAGACTCGTCCATGAGATCGCCAGATAGAGACGCGTGATTTATCACTCAGAGAACCCGTCTCCACTGCTCTAGAGTCCAGTGGCGGCGTGCTTTATACCACTGCACCCAACGGTTTGCATTGCACTTGTTGATGTAAGGCTTGGATGCAGGTGCTCGGCCATGGAAACCCATTCCATGATGCTTTCTACGCACTGGTGTTCAGCTAATCTGAAGGCCACATGAAGTTTGGAAGTCTGTAGCTATTGACACTGGAGAAAGTTTGCGACTTCTGTGCATCTAAGCATGCGCTAACCCCGCTCTGGGTTGCTGTTGTTCCCAATTGCTTCCACTTTGTTATAATACCACTAACAGTGACCGTGGAACATTTAGTAGTGAGGAAATTTCATAGGTGGCAACCTACCACAGTACAATGCTGAATTCCAGAGTGACCCATTCTTTCACAGATGTTTGTTGAATCATCTGCATGCCTACAGTAGCTGCTTTATTTTACAGAACTGTGGCCATGGAAGTGATTGGAACATCTGAATTCAATGATTTGAAGGGGTGTCCCAAAACTTTTGGCAATACAGTTTATATGGGGATGATTAGGATACATAAAGTACATGATGCATGACGACGCACTACATGATGCAAACATATGTCTCTATCAAATCAAATAGATTGATGAGTTTCAAGTGTTTTTCCCTTTTTACTTAAATTATTTCTTGACATTTTTGGAGAAAAAAATTTGATTTTTGTATTGCTCTCTAAGAGTTGTATAATGACAATTATCTCTGTGATTCTTTACCATTGTTGCGCAACGTTGCCCTTGGGCAACAAAAAAATATTTTGGGGTGGGGGGGTCAGGGGAGGGAAATTTTTCAATAAATCAATAAAATGTTCCTAAATGAGCCAAGAAATGATGTGGAATATTTTTTTTCCATGTGCCATCAAAATGCATGCAGTAGAGGGTTAGCAAAATGTCAAGTCCATTGTTTGTCCATAGAGCATCACAGTCCCACCCACAGCCGGTGCTGGAAGTAAAAATTCAATACAATTTCTCCATTGACATTTGAGATATAAGCCATAAAAACGAAACCATACATGGTAGACTTAAAACCAGCTACGGCTGTTCTAAGTGATTGTATATGCTCATATAAACGGCAAAAGTTCATGGGGCACTAACCTTGTTTTAAGATAAATGCCTTTTATTCGCGATGTATTGGATAAGTACTTCATTACCCACAATCCTGAACAATCCCACAATCTAGGGCTGCAACAACTAATCGATAAAATCGATTATAATCGATTATGAAAATCGTTGTCAACGAATGTCATTATCGATTAGTTGGTCTGATTACGTCACGGGGATTGTTTACATGCTACATGCGCTTCTTACATGCGCTTCTTACATACGCTTCATGAGGCACACACGCAGTCTCTCTCCCTCGCCGGTCTGTGCGCAACACGGACGGTTTGGAGCACATTATCTTCTGTCTCGCATGCGCACTCTTGATTCCGTGAGTTTGAACTAATTTGCGGGCATCAGGAAACCGCTATCAATATGCAGCATACACGAAAATCATTCACCTTTCGGCAAATTCGCCGTTTTGAAACCAAAATAGGTGACCTGCGTTAATCGTGTATACTTTATGAAGCCATACTGTAGTATAATGTGAGAAAGAAATGTATATTTAAGTAATTAAATTCAAGTTAACGTAAGCTTTTCCCTCCACTGCGGCTGTCAGTCATTCTCTATTCGGTGTTCAAACAGCGCGTCGCGTTACAACAGTTAACATGATGAAACTCTTTCCAAGATGATTCAATGTTATTATTATAATTGATCCGTAGATAAAGGTCTATGGTTTCGTAATATAATGACTATCTTGCTAGACTTTTATTGCTGTAACTTAATCACTTTCTACTGAGTGTCTGTTAGATCACAACACTAGAGTAGAGTCGGCGCAGTTGTTCTTCACGTGCACAGTAGCCTAACTGAAATTTAAAACTGTTAAAAGAAAAGGCTTAATAAACTATTGCAAAGATACTGTATAATACACAGTCAATATTGCTTCCTCACTAAACAGCTGTGCATCTGATTTTTACAATGTTTTTCATGAATGTACAACAACAATACAAAGAGATAGTTTTACCAGAGATAGTGCTACACTTATTGTCTCTTATTTTTTCCCCACTAAGGAATGTTTTTTTCACTAAATGTTCAGATTTTATACAATTATTGTGCACTTGTGATTTTTCTATCTAGGCTAAGTTTTTCTGAGTTATCCACTAATCTAGTTTACAATAGCATTTTTGTCATAGGTTATGGTCATATATTTTTTTTATTTGTTGTTTTTCTATATAATGAAGTTGTCTGTATTAAGAAGATTGTTTAACACACAAAAGAGTGTGGTTTTCAGGGTTTTATTTAGTTATAATAAACAAAAAAATGAAATAAATTTTTTATCCGATTAATCGATTAATCGAAAAAATAATCGTCCGATTAATCGATTATCAAAATAATCGTTAGTTGCAGCCCTACCACAATCCCAGTGATGCATCTGATTGGTGGAAGTCGTGTCGTGTCTGAAACCTCGCGAAGGTACGTGATAGACTGAAGATCGTGTAATGGCCTAGGGCTAAGTTCATTGGTCGCACCTCTGAGACGACCCCGCGCCATTGGATGTGCAGTTGCCGCAGCACAGCCTATGAGCGAGCCAGATGTTCAATGAATTAGCATGTGCATAAGCTTCAGTAAATCGAGGAAAAGTAGTTTCCCTGCACATTCACTATATAAAATTCACTGGAGTAAAAAGTTCACGTGGCCGTCGTCAGATTTGGAAGTCACTCAAAAGGCTCTTTCACGATGGCTTCAGTCGACTTTAGTGAGGCGCGGTGGTTTATGGGATGAGTAGTTCCTTTGCTCGGAAATGAAATATGTACACAGGCTTGTACCCTTGACTTTTTTGGGATTTTCTCTTTGTTTTTTCACTCGAAATGATATGTTGTATGCTTATGAGTTCAGCTGTAGCTGGTTATCCTCAGACATGCTCTAATACTCTTTAGATATGGATTTTACAAAACGTCAATGGGAGAAATGAATGGGAATTTTATTTCCGGCACCAACACTCTCTCGGGCTGTGGGCGGGACAGTGATGCTCTATAGCGCAGCGATCTATGAAGCACAGCTCACACATAAGTCACTTTCAGACCTAGCTTCCTATTGGTCAAAACGACTAATTAAAACCAGTTAACCTATCAGATTGATTCCTTTTAAAGTGACTGGATTATGACCATAAATTCTCCAAACAATGATATACTGCACCTTTATAATAATTATGAGGAAATATCGGTAGTTATTTGCTGAAAATCTTTGCCTCCGCTGCAGCTCACATCTTATGCTTATATTTTAATTTGGTGAAACTAGTCTAATATCCTTTTTTTTTTTCACAGAAGAACAAACATATACATGTTTAGAATGACATGAAGGTGAGCAATGCCCCATTCACACCACCAGTGACGCATGTTACACAGCGTTTTGGGTAACGCATTAAAAGTAACATAATCAGATTACTTTTTTCAAGTAAATTAAAGTAATTCATTACTTATTAATTTACAACAAAATATGTTACTTTTTCAAACAAGACAAGCCACTTTGTTTTGTTAAATTTCACAAATATACTTTGGCTCAATCCCAATTCACCCCCTTGCCCCTTCTCCTTGTCCCTACCCCTCCGATTTGCGTGTTCCCATCTAGGGGTAGGGTGTCCTGATTCTTGTTGAGATCGAGGGGTAGGGCGATTTCAGAGGCACACTCCAAACGGAGGGCTACGAGAAAGTTCACAGAATGTATTGCAAATCACCGGCGAGATGGCTTCGCAAATGGTTAAACATTTGAATTTAGCGCCAGATGTTACCACCATACACTTTATTTACTTTTATAATAATAATAATAATAATACGTATATTAAGAAATTGTATGATAAATTACGTTTCCGAAACAGAAAAGACATACATTACATGGAAGGAATGTTATAATCATCATGTTTCCTCAAAGTTAAGAGCAGCTGCGCTCATTGTAAGTCGTTGTCATGGAGAAATCCTGTAAAAACTCAGTTACGGCAGCCAGAGCCATCGCCAACGACTGATGACGTATCGGGTTCATGAAGGGTTGTTGAATATTTCAACCCCTTGGCCTTTGTAACTCCGTTTTAAGGGCCATGGGGTACACTCGAAAACAAGGGTCAGGGGCAAGGGGTGAATTGGGATTGAGCCTTTATGTTTTTAATCTCACTTTATTAACCAATGTCTTTGCTGCTGACCTTCGATGATCCAATTCAACCATCCTAATAAGCAAAAATGACTTTAGATAAAGCACATTTGTTTCATTTGTTCTTCTGCTGCATCCTAGTCTTCTGCTTTCCAGCAGCTCGACATGTGTGAATTTGCATTTCCTTCAACCTGAGGATTACTAATTTCACCTTTGGTTTGAAAAAGTCTTTAGATTTCCCAAAAATATTACTTTTTTTTAAACAATCAAGCAAGCCCAGCCCAAAGTAACACAAAAGTAACAAGTAAGTAACGCAAAAGTAACAATGCATTACAAAGTAACTACTAAGTGACGCAATTGGTTACTATTTTGGGGAAAAATGCAATATTGTAATCATTTAAAAGTAACTTTCCCTAACACAGAAAGCAACAGTGACCATTGGAGTCAGGATGTAGGTGTCTAATGACGTGAAAGTTGGAGTCAGGATGTAGGTGTCTAGTGACGTGAAAGTTGGAGTCAGGATGTAGTTGTCTGGTGACGTGAAAGTTGGGAAATGTTTAACAATTAATGTAAGTGAAGACTGTGTCAGTGAAGCTCACCTCACCTTTCTCGAGCATTTGGTTGCTTGTTTGCTTTACTAGACACGTTTTATTAAATTGTACGAGAAAGCCCCATGTATTCATACTACATTTTTAAACAGCTCATAAATGGAGTGAAATCACTATCAAATTTAACAAAATTTAAACAAAAAACAAAATCCCTTTCAGCTTGATCCCTAAAATGTTCATCATTAAGAAGCAGCTGTAGATGCACTTTCAATGCAACCCTGTTCAATTTATTGTGAGTAGTCTGCATTTTATTTTTTCTTTATAGAGTTATGAATGTTAAGAGCGTATATTATCTATAAACCATTTGGAAACCCTTTCAATCTCTACTTGGCTTCAGCTTCAGCATGTATCGAATGCCTCCTGCAGATCCAGCAACACAATCCCACATAATTTGCCCCTGTCCATTTCTTTTCTTATATAAAAAAAAACATTATCATTGTCTCTGTGGAGTCCAGCCTCCTAAAACCTGCCTGTAACTGTACAGTATAGAGTTATAGTCTTCAACCTGATCATACATGATCTTTTCCATCACTGTTGATCAAACACTGGCCTATAATTATTACACTCTAAACTTTAACCTTCAACCTTTCTTATAGAGGGGAATAACTCTTGCTTATTTTAACTCCCCAGGAACCTTACCTTGTGTAATTGAAAGATTTATAATATAGGAGTAATACATTTAGCTGAGTCCTTAAAATACTGTGCTTCACTGAAATATGATCTAACCCTGTCGCTTTATCACTTTTGAGTTCCTTTAACTTTTTAAAAACACTACTCTCATTCACTTTTGTAAATGAAAAAACACAATTTTTCAGCAATAGTAGTGAAAGAGCTACCTAAAATATTCTGCTACCTTCTTCTGATCAGTCATCAATCTTCCATCTACATTAATACTTATTCTTGAACATTTACCCTTACACTATTTGTCTTTTTTTCTATACCCCAACTCATTTAAACCTCTCCATAATTTTGTGTATCCTGCTTCAATTTACTGATGTTGTAATCCTTAAAGTTTTTTTAGCTTCTTTTATCTTATCTCTAACTTCATTTATTTGAATTCTTATCCCTTTTCTTTAAAACTCTGTCAACTAAGGCTCAGTCCGTTGCTTGATTCTTAACTCTTTGTAGGGTGCCAAATTGAACTTAAACCTATCCCAAGCCATCTCCACATCATCGCACTGCATTACCGATGTCAGGTCAACCTTGTTGAGTTCCTCTGTAAATACGTCCGGACTGTATTCCATCAAAAAAACATCAATGATAGTTTTGGTTTTACAAATAATTCTAAGTTTCAATGCATATGACTTACAAAAGGCACTAAATTGTAAAAAAAAAAAAGTTTAATGTTCTATATTATTTTCTTGTAAACACAAACATATATGATATATGTGTGGAAAAAGGAACTATCGGCGGCCTCGGTAAGTTTTATTCATAAATTCTTGGTCACTGGTGGTGTACATGGGGATCAAATGATGACCGAACTTTTAGATTGACCCTATCTTTAAATTCTAAAAAAAAAAAATAGTAGAAAGGACTTCATGTAGAAAGTGGAAAGTAGGGAAATTAGTAGCAGATGGAAAATAAGCAGAGGTAGAGAGTGAAAATCAAGGGCCGAAGAGACGACGAAGGCGTCACTCACTGGAATGGATCTGCTGAGGTAGCGTCCTGGAAACCCACTAAGCCCGGCGCGGAACGGACCTCTCCGAGGGCTCGGCCGGCTATAGCCGCCTCTGTTCATAGGCCTGACTGTACGACTAGCACTAACGGTGCCTGATGCAGTGAGGCTGTTGAGGTTAGCGTTGGCTTCTTGATTGAAGTTTACATGGGAGGGAGGAAGTCGGGGGTCAGCAGTGGTGTACCCAAAGCCAAAACTGGAGGGAAGTGCTGGGGAACACTGGGTTAGGGCAGGAGATGGGGAGGGCACAAAAGAGGAAGCAGGTGTGCTGGTTTCATCGTCACTGAAGTTGTTGTCGTTATAGAGGTTGCTGAGGGAATGGGCTAAACGGGGACTGAAGCTGTTCAGGATGCATAAAGGGGGGTTAACAACATCTGTAATGTACCCCATCCAAAAAAAAAACAAACACCCAGGCTGTGCATTCACTTTAATGTACCTTTTTAGATTGCTAGCGGAGGATGAAGGGCTTCGCGTCAGTCTTTGTGGTGCAGTGGTGGAGGAGAGGAAGAGAGGAGATTTGGAAGACTTGGGAGAGGAAATGGTGCCCGGAGCTGGGGTTATCCCACTGCCAAAAAAAAAGAAAGACAAATAGCCGAGCAGTTCATTAAAAGGTAATGATGAAAGAAGGAAGCTTTTTCTCCACTGTAATAAGAACATTCCTTTTCAAAACAGGAAGTGAATTGCTCGGCAATGCTTTTGTGCAGAGAGTGAAATTAACTTTTTTACACTCACTAGCCAATTTCTCACATGCCCTGTCCCAAAGGGCACACTTCATGGTCTTTTGGACTTACTATGGCCGCCACATGAGCATGAAGTCCATTTTCCTTGTTCATTTTAGGTTTCAGAAGAGTGGCCCTCGAGGGTGCCATTTGGGACAGGACCACACATGGATGCTTCATTCATACTCACATTTTCAAGTTCAATCACAACAGTGAATCTAATCACTTTTATACAGGCAAAACATTACTTTTTAATTTGAAAGATGTGTCACTTCTTGTCCAGCGTGTGACCCTCTTTACACTTTGTTTTGCTAATGTTGGAGTCGTCTGTTTGGAGAACATCACAACCCGCCAAACTGGCCTAGTGAGTTGAAATGTGTTTTCTTTTCGGCATTTAAGTCAAAAAAATCTGTTCTTCTTACAACCAAGAGTGATTTCATTGGCTGAAAGAACACTCATTTCCTTTATTTAGAATAACTGAAGGTCTACCTAAGCACTGTGGTTGTAGATCTGGGGTGGCGTTGGCCCTTTAAGGCTAGTAGTTTGTCTCCTTGCGTTGGAATCGTGTCCTCTTCTCTGAACTCATTCTGTAGTGTAACAAAACACAGTGTCAACACCAATTTTACAGTATTGTGTGCACTCAATTATGATTGGTGGATTCAGTTCCTTCAGCACCTCATCCACACTTGCTGGCTTCAGAATGGTGCTGTCGATGGACATGTTGTCCACGCTGGAGATGAGATGGGACATGTTTCTCTTCTGCTGTCGGCTTTGCCTCAGCTGCTGCTGCTTCTGCACTGAGCGATGGAGATCACCTTGCACCCACATACTGTGCTGCTTCCTTAAGACAGAGAAAGAAAGCACTTTTGAACATGGCCTCTGTGCAAGACTTGATTTTCCTGCCAAGACAAAAGCTCAGATCAAATCTCCTGCAATAAAACAATAAAAACACCCCTGGAGAGAAGACCTCAAAGATAGAGCACAGGACATCGCCTTTCGCCTTTTATAATGTATCCTTCCACTCCCTAATCCCTTCCATTCCCCCCCCTGATTTAAGTCACTGAAAGTTCACTGAGAATGTCTATATATCACATGCGATTGGTAAAATGGTCTCAATTTCATTGCAGTCATTGATATTATGAAAAAGCATTGGAGAATTAATTTTTCCTTTTTGGGTGGTGTCTCTTCTCTGATAATTCTCTCTTCTCCTCTGAAAGCAAGTGTTACCCCCTGAGGTAAATGATTAGACCCAAAACACCTCTAAAAATATTTGTACAAGCCTTTTTGACTGGTTTGGGTATAGGGAAAGTGGCAGACTGCTTCTTTGGGAATCTGTAACTAGAAAACCCCCACGCAGTGCTGTGTTAGTGTCTTCCTGAGTCTAACAGGAAGGAGTCTTGGATCACTCCTCCATAGGCTTCTATGGGATTAAAACTTGCCCGCCCAGAAAAGTTATAAAAGACATTTAACATATAACACAGAAGCACTGCGCTGTTACACTATGTGAACTAACTCGAGGCCCACACAGAAGGAAATGAATAGTTGAATAAAGCAGTAGCACCTCATTGCAGTACACAAAATCCAGGGGGCGGAGTCGGATCCAGATCTGAGGGGTGGAGTTGGGTAGGTTTAGGGGTGTGTTTAGGGATCAGGGGGTGGAGTTGGGTAGGTTTAGGGGTGAGTTTAGGGATCGGGGGGTGGAGCTGGTTAGGTTTAGGGGTGGGTTTAGGGATCAGGGGGTGGAGCTGGGTAGGTTTAGGGGTGGGTTTAGGGATCACGGGGTGGAGCTGGGTAGGTTTAGGGGTGGGTTTAGGGATCAGGGGGTGGAGCTGGATAGGTTTAGGGGTGGGTTTAGGGTAACAGGGGTGGGGGGTTGGGTAGGTTTAGGGGTGGGTTTAGGGATCAGGGCGTGGAGTTGAGTAGGTTTAGCGGAGGGTTTAGGGATCAGGGGGTGGAGCTGGGTAGGTTTAGGGGTGGGTTTAGGGATCAGGGGGTGGAGATGGGTAGGTTTAAGGGTGGGTTTAGGGATCAGGGGGCGGAGCTGGGTAGGTTTAGCGGTAGGTTTAGGGATCAGGGGGTGGAGCTGGGTAGGTTTAGGTATATGTAAGGTGGGAGGAGTTGGATCTGGAGGCGGCTCCCTGTGGATTTCATGTTCTGCAGTGAGAACCATCTCGAATAAAGTCGTTATTTTTGTTTGTTTTTTGCTCACAAAAAGTATTCTTGTCGCTTGATAAACTTAAGGTTGAGCCACTGTAGTCACTTGGACTATTTTAACGGTGTCTTTAATAACTTTTCTGGGCCGACAAATTTCAATCCCTATGGAGGAGTGATCCAGCTCTCAGATTTAATCAAAAATATCTTAATTTGTGTTACGAAGATGAGCGAAAGTCTTATGGGGTTGGAACAACATGAGGGTGAATAATTGCTGACAGAATTTTCATTTTGTTGTGAACTATCCTTTTAAGTAAACTTCACCGGAGCGCTGAAAAGACATACTGTACACGCATTTCGCCCACGCCGTTGGATTCTGCAGTTGGGCTAACAGGTGGTTCTTACTGTACATATGAACTGTTTTATGTCCCTATGTGTCTCAGTCTATCTGTAGACTCATGCACTTAGACAGTTTAGACTTACTGTTCGAGAAAGTGCTGCTGTGGTCCAATGACGGAGCCCGGCCTGCAGATTCGTATCCAGGCAATGGCCTCGGGCGCTGTGAAGCGATAATGCTTCATCAGGTAGCAGCCTATCAGAGTGCCTGTCCTGCCAAGGCCAGCTGTGCAAAGACAGTGGGAAATAATTTAGAGGAGAAAACAAAATTAAAAATTACATAAATCAGGAGAAAACCCTCCCCATCAAAGACTAAGGGCCAGATTTACTAAACAGGGCAAATTGGCTTGAGAGCGCAATTCCAAAAAAGTGCAAATTAAAGAACAGAGGCGCGCAACTGGATAATTTCCATAATTACCAACGCAATCTACCAAGAGCAGCGCACATTAACGTCTACTTTAAGACAAGCTTTTTTGGGGTGGTAAATAATGGCGCAAATACCAGTAAAATGACTGGTGCAAAGTAACCTTAGTAAATCACCTTGCATAATTAATTTAAATACTCTCCTCCCATAAATTTGGTATCTGAAAGGGAAACTCCTACAAATGCATATGCGATAAGGTCAGAATCAAAATTAATCCTTTTCAGTGCTGTTTTTTCCCCTGCGTGTCTAGCAAATCCAAACAGTAGTTGTTTAATGCCATAAGTGGGTTTGTGCTGGAGCAAGCTGTTAGTAAATTGTTGTAAAATCTAGAAAAAATAAGACATATCCATGTGACATGGCTTCATCCTCAAAAACTAAGAATCAATAGCAGTAAGTAAATAATTGCCAACCATAATATGACAGTAATTGAAATGTTATACTATTTTGTCTATATTAATATATAATCAATCACTTTAAATACAAAACTTACTTCATACGTCACAACATTCAATTACATTGTGCAAGAATTAAAAAAAAATGTATAGTGTTTTTTAAAGATGAACTTTAAAAGGTTAGTTCACCCAAAAATTAAAATTCTGTCATTAATTATTCATCCTCCTGTCGTTCCAAACCCTTAAGCTTTTCGTTCATCTTTGGAGCACAAATGAAGATCTTTTTGATTAAATCTGAGAGCTTTTTGTCCCTCCACTGAGGGAGGTGCCTTGAGTTATGAGCTCTACGTGGGTTTGTCCATGGGTTCCCTATCTGAATTAGCCTCAGGATGTTAAATCAGATTGCCAATACCTCAAGCCCATATCATGCCTACATTGGACCCACCATGAAATGTTGGCCAGAAAATTTCAGGATCATACAATACTCTACTATTTTGTTTAACTGGACTTGCACCTGAACCACATGGTAAATTTGTAAACAGACGTGGAGACTGTAAAGTTCAATTTTTTAAAACTTCTTTTGCCCAAAATGTTTTTTTTCTGTGAAAGGAGCCAAACTGTGGAACTGTCTTCCTACAAATATAAAGACTTTAACTAAACTGTCCACCATCAAAAAACTAACAATAGCCTGTTTCATACAGCAGCAGCAGTGTGATCATGCCATATGAAAATGTATATCGTTGTGTATGTGAGGTGTGCATCGGTGTGAGTTCGAGTGCATGTGTTTATTTATTAATTTTTATTAGTGCTAACTGGTTTCTGGACATTTTATTGTATTCACTGTCATTTTTTTACTCTTTTATTTTCTTAACTGTTAAAAGCTTTTCTAGGGACAGGTGTTGTTAATTAGTCTTGGCTATTAACACTGTGATACAGGCATCGGATTGTTCTTTATGTAATAATCTATGTTTTCTTTTTTTTTTTTTGTATCTGTCCCTATTCAAATAAACAATAAATAATATATAAATATTAAATAAATATAAATAAATATTTTACATACAAAAGTGCACCTCACTCTAGATGCAATAAAAAAAAGATGCTGTTTCGTCACAAATCTAGTTTCTAGAGTGTCTCACCCTTGCAGTGGACGGCCACGGCACCCTCTGCGCTCTCACAGATATGTAGAAAGCGTCTTGTGAGGAGATCACTAGGCGTGGTGCCGTCTATGAAGAACAAGTCGTGATGTTCAAACCCGGCATCTGTGAAGCGCCGCTCTTCATAGATTTTCTTGTTCAGTCGCACAACATCTGTCACACTGTGCTGCCGGAAGTAGGAGAAGTACGATTCTGGAGCATGGAGAGGATAACCTGAAAGAAAGAGCCAAAACAGTCATCAGTTCATGAGTGAGTCACTCCACTGATAGGCTACTATCAGTTCACAAGTTCACATTTACAAATATTCAGAGTTAAAGAGTAAGTGTATTTTGGGTGCTGTTAAAATGCATATGATCACTCTGCACATCTAAACACAGTGTGAATCAACAACAACTAAAGCAGCAAACATTACGAAACACAAAATGGATGTCACAGCCAAAACTTTTGGGCATGACTGTAAATGGTTTGACAAGCCATTTGTAATGTTTACTATACTTGTATCAAGTTTAACAGGGTTTTGGGAAACAACTGCCATTGAATTAAGAATAAATAGCAACAGGGTTAACATTGATCCAATAACAGTGGAATCTGGTATTTGTCAGGACCGTACTAGCTTTTATGTGCAAATCTAATGTGTCAGCTTACCGTTCTCGATTTTGCTCTTGGGATGAGGTCCACTGAAGGCCAACAGTTTTCCTGGCACAATCCAGTTAAAATCACCATTTTCCACACGCTTGTAATGCAAAAGATAAGAAGATACACAAATATACATAATTGCTTAATTAAAATTTATTTACATGAGTTATCTGTATCCTTTATTGCTTTTAACCCTCAGGTGCTCTTCGTTTAGTAGACACCTAAAAATGAAACTTTCTCCATCCCAGTAAAACCAATGCAATTTATTTTTGTTCTATAATATTTATTCTTTTTAATTTAGTATTTTGAGACTATTTAATTGAATTTATTAATATTTATGCAATATTTATGGTTTATTTTTGCCATGGAAATATATATATTTTTCTATATATATATTGTTTTTGTTTTTTTTTAAATATTAATGCAGTATTTTAGTTTAATATAGAGTCTAAGCCTTCAGAAAAAAAATATTTTTTGAAGAAAATTAGCACCATCTTGTTACAGTACAGAGAAAAATCATCATGGTGTAACCACTAGATGGCATGTACAGCTCTCTATGGAGAGGCATGTGAATTCCCCAGCTGTTTATGAACACATTTTTTGATGTTGTTGGTGGTGGATTTGAATATAGAGTTGAAACAATCTCAAAAACTATATCTTATAAAAAATAAAAAAACAAATTGACAAAAACCAAAAATTCATAATTTTTTTTTTTTCCATTTTTTTCCAATTTCCCATTCATTTCCTATGTTAGGTCATTTTTGACCGAAGAGCACTAGTGTGACTATTTTTTTTACGACCACTTTTTTTTGTGTTCACATACCCAATGCCATAAAAGTCACCAAGGTTCGTAACATTCCGATGAAGCTGTGATTTAAAAAAATTCAAAACAGAAATGACCGAAGAGCACCTGAGGGTTAAGTGCCCAAAATGTATCGATACTTAAATACATGTGAAATTGATTACATTTGATAACAAAATGTCCAAACAATTAATATTTTGCAATCACTTTTAACCAGTAAAGTAAAAAAAAAAAATGTATTGTTTTATATAAGAGTAAACAAGTTAAGAACATCAAAAACTATGAACATGATTCACTAAGTGTGACAATCAGAGAGTGTCCAAATACTTTTACTTTTTGCTTGCAAAATATACACTTTTCTTTAATAATAGCCACTTGATTTAATATTTTGCTATTATTATCACAGTTATTCAATGTTAAATGGTCAAAACTCATTGGGGCCACTGTAGACAATGTAGCAGTGCTGTAGAGTTTTAAAGTTAGATTATATCTATGAGAATGAAATATTAATATTAAAGAAGGTGATACCTCATAATGTTCATATTCTTCAACATCAAAATTCTCAAAGTCAAAGAACCCGTGCTGCAAGGCCTAAAGAGAAAACGTTTCATAAAATAAAGGCAAATCATGAATTCAATGGAAAATAATGAAAATCTAAATGCTTCCTGAGGAAATGTGTCTTCAAACGTGTTACAAGTTGTGTAATATCTCACTGTCTGCCAACTGTAATTCATTCCTCTAAGAGACTTGTCCCAAAACTTTCCACCCACGTATTTCCTTCTTAGTATTTTGCTTCCTGATAGTTATCAGTTATTGTGTGGCATGTCCTTTACGTAATCCGTCTATTAGAGCCTGTGCCAATTCTTTCTCCCGTGTCAGATTGAAAAGACAGATAATTGGACTAAAAGATTACGTTCTGCGGATAAAGTTCATTATGCGTCTACACTGTCCAGCCTTGGTCCAAAAAATGGGTCAAGAATGTCACAAACTTTACCCTTCCTAAATATTAATAACTCAAACAGATGGTGCATTTGAAGCAAACTCTTCCCTTTAATACACTTACCTTGCGTATTCCTTGTAAACAGTCTAATATGGTTAGATCATATGTGCAGTTCCCAAAAGCAGCATCTCTATATGGAAATAAAATAACATTTTTTTGTGAATGTATGATACAATCTGTGTGTGTGCATGCAAACCTACCTACACTGGGGTAACTTGCATTATGAAAGGACGCAAGATTCTCTATCCTAAAGATATTAAACCAAGTCTATTTTTAGGGCTAAGATTTTCACTTGAATAGCTTCTTGTCCTTTTATGAACTTTGATGTTTATGATTTTTAGTCTGCCCTCTAAAAATCTCCATATTTCATAGCATTCAGTGTTATCGTGCAATTTAGAGAAAGGTGGTCTGTGGGGTACAGTTGAAACACATTATCACAGTAACTTAATGTAAGAACGTTTGATCATAACTTTTGTCAGTCGACATAATGTTGTAGGGTCTCCTTAGCACAAACTTAATGAGTGAATGCGTGCTGACATCTTATATACCTGTATGTACGGGGGAGTGACTTGGCATGGAAATTCCACCCGCCAATTCCATTGGTTGTTTTTCTACAACTCAGAGGTGATTGGAGCTCCCAAGACGTTACTTTCCCAGCTTAACTATTTGTTGCCAACATTTCAATTAAGTTCTTAAAATGTTCTTTTTGAATGTTCTTTGAATGTTTTGAGTGGTAAAATTTAGAAAATATTTTAGGGGGAAAAAAAGCATGTTTTTGTGCTAACATTCTATGAACATTTTTTTAAGACCTGATAAAAAAAATTCTAATAACATTGATGGAAGAATGTTTGTTCATAACTTTGCCAGAACATTAGCCACGTCCTGAGAACGTTCCCTATTAGCTGGGTACTAAATAAGAGTGTTTCCATTGTAATATGGTACTGTTTAAGCTGTATTTTTAAGTATTTTTTTTTTGTCTTTATCATCTAACTGTGGAAAATATGAACTATTTATTAGGGATGGGCAACGATTAATCATGATTAATCGTATCCAAAATATATCATTTGTATAATTAATTTGTATAAATACACACACATGCATGTATATATTTAAGAAATATTTGTATATACTTTATATATATTTATACATAATTAATATTATATAAAAATATAAATATTTGATATATTAATAACACATTTTTCTTAAATATACACATACATGTGTGGGTATTTAAATATACAAATTAATTATACACACTACACACACATATATTATGTAAACACAAACTTTTATTTTGAATGCGATTAATCACAATTAATCGTCGCCCATCCCTACTATTTATAGTTAATATCGTTCATTATTTTTTTTAGTTGAATATTTTTAATTACTGTAGTTTTTGTTTTCCAGCTTGTTCAAACTGTATTCGCTCTAGCGTTCAAAAGTTGGTAATATATTATATCATAAGAAGTCTCTTATGCTCACCAAGGCTGCATTCATTTAATCAAAAATTAAAGTAAAAACTTTAGTTTTTTATAAGTAAAAACTATTTTTTGTAGCACTTTAACATAACTTTTTTCTATTTGATTGTACAATTGAACAATTGTTTGAACAAATTCATTTGTTCAAATGCAATTTATTGCTGCAATGTCTAAGCTGAGTTTAAAATTTTCAGTGTCACATGACGCTGTTGAACTTGTATTCACAAGTTGGGTTATGATGTTCTGGTTTATGTCAAGATGTCATAACAAAGATATCTTAATGTCATATTTGCATTCAAAATGTCATTATTGAGCGAAAGACACTTAATGGCAGTTGTCATAAACATGCATGAACCCTACTTCATATTCAAGACATATGTCATGTCATGGTTATGAAGGTGTCATGTCAGTCTTATGCACACCCCTTCAAGTAAAGTGTTACCAATCATTCTAATATGCTGATTTGCAGCTCAAGAAACATTTCTTAATATCATCAATGCTGTTTAATATTTCTGTTAAAAACTTTTTCCAATGATTCTTTGATGAATAGAAAGTTCAAAAGAATAGCATTTGTTTGAAAAAGAAATGTTATTATGGATTCATTTAATGCACCCTTTCTAAATAAATGTAATTTCTCTTTACATGGCAGCAGGGCCTGAAGTTAACTTTTTCGGCCATTTCGGTCGACTTTTTACCAGCCATTTTTTTTTTTTTTTTTTGCCTCATAAACGTGAAACCTTTAACCTACGTCAGCGTTACATTATCTCATCCCATCTCACCAACAGTTTAATACTCGCACATCCAAACGTAGTCAGAAAAGGGCATCATCTTCTTTCTGATCGCATGAACGTTCCGAAACAACAGTTGCTGTCATAAATCAGCCACTCACGAACCTTGCCATTGCCGCCGATTGTTCACTTTCTATTAAAATGTCTTCTTTACTTTTCTTTTTCTCATCCTCATCTTTTTGTTGGCTGTTTGTTAGCAGCTGGCCCCTTTACCCCAGTAATGTGCCGCCACATTTTAGCTAAAGTCCAACGCAATAGCGGACTTTGTTGAAATGTAAAAATCCTAATGAATCACTCACAATTCTCATTGGCTACCTGCCAATGTGGCAGGTAGATTGACAGTGTTACCCGCCAATAGCAAAATTCACCCGCATTTGGCAGGTGGTCGGGTGTTAATTTCAGGCCCTGCTGTGTGTACATACAGTAAAGTATAAGACTATGTAATGAGGTGTGACTAGCATGATGACACATGATCAGATCAGAGCGTGTGTGTGTGCAGTATCTCACCTGAAGGGCAGGTATGACACATTGGTTCCAGAGATCAGGGCACGGTACACTTCCTCTGGAGTTCTTTTTAAGTAGATTACCTGAATAAAGAAGCGAGACATGACTAGCAATTTCTCTAAGACACTTGTTTTTGCCCCTAAAACATGAGGGGGTAAAAATCAACAAAAATGATCATCTTCTAAGGTTACGGAACAGGGGTGTCCAAAGTCAGTCCTGGAGGGCCACTGTCCTGCAGAGTTCAGCTCCAGCTTGTCCAACACTTGCCTGGAAGTTTCTAGTATGTCTAGTAAGACGCTGGTTAGCTGGCTCAGGTGTGTTTAATTGGGGTAACTCAGCAGGCCCTCCAGGAGAAGGAATGGACACCCTTCTTGTAGAAACAGAGCTGGACTCACTGCATAAGCACCGATGAGGACGGCTGCATTGGCTCTCTTTCGTTGGTCATAACTGGTGTAATGGATGATGCGCTTTCTGGACAGAGTGAAAGACTGCAGATACACAAAAGACATATTCATGTTCAGATAGTTCATCCAAAAATGAACTGTTCCTTTAATAGAGTATATAAGGATACTTAAAGGGTTAGTTCACCCAAAAATGAAAATTCTGTCAGTATTTACTCACCCTCATGTTGTTCCAACCCCGTAAGACCTTCGTTCATCTTCGGAACACAAATTAAGATATTTAGGATATTAAAATCGCTCCTGCATACAGTCCATAGGCTTCTTGAGGGACTGGCTCTTGCCGTCCTCGAAAAGTCATAAAAGACATCGTTAAAATAGTCCAAGTGACTACAGGGGCTCAATCTTAAGTTTATCAAACGACGAGAAAACGTTTGTGCGCAAAAAAACAACACAAAAATAACGACTTTATTTCAACTATTCGTTTATTTCTCCCTCTGCGCGAGTCAGGTTACTACTTTAATGGCGTAAGCTTCTGTTATTGTATGTCACACGCATCACACACACATGACCAGCGTCGGCCAATAGTGAGCCTACGTGTGACGTAGCTCTACGCAATCACACTACGTTAACGGACTATAGGCTTATGGAGAAGGAAGTGAATAGTTGAAATAAAGTCGTTATTTTTGTTGTTTTTTTGCGCACAAAAGTGTTCTCGTCGTTTGATAAACTTAAGATTGAGCCCCTGTAGTCACTTGGACTATTTTAACGATGTCTTTTATGACTTTTCGAGGACGGCAAGAGCCAGTCCCTCAAGAAGCCTATGGACTGTATGCAGGAGCGATTTTAATATCCTAAATATCTTAATTTGTGTTCCGAAGATGAACGAAGGTCTTACGGGGTTGGAACAACATGAGGGTGAGTAAACACTGACAGAATTTTCATTTTTGGGTGAACTAACCCTTTAAGGCTCTGGTTGTCATTCCAACGCATTCTCATCCTACGGCGTCATATAGTGACACTTTTGAAATTTCGTCTAAATCCAACGCACATGGCACCCTTTAGCGTCAATATAACATGCACAGAGCTTTGTTTCGTTATGGACATATTCGGTCATTACATTATTTTATTGTAATTCCTGGCATAAAATAATAGTCTTTTTTTCTTTTAAGAATGTAATACTTTATTTATATGATCAAAAAGTAATTCTGATAGTTTGTAATGTAAATCATTAAAATCTAAAACAGTATAGCAGATTACATGCATAAAGTGCATATATGTTTAAAGTTCTGTCGTTTTTATTTTGGGGCAAAACAATGCAAAGCAATAAAATGACGGTTGAGAGATGAACAAATAAACGTCCCTCAAAACCCTGATGTATCATATTTGATACTCACATTTTAACGTTTTTTTTTTTTTTTTTTTTTTAAGTGAAAAATGAACCTTTAAAATAAAGGCTTCAGGTCAGTAAACGTTCATCTTGGAACATTATTAGCAATAAAAAAAGCCATTCTTACTTTAAAGTGTATGGATGCCACAGTATTATGAATGCCCAATTAGAGTGGTTTAAAAGGATAAAATAATAGATATAGGGTTAAAATGAAAAGAAAATGCATTTGAACACTTTTTGGTATAGTCAAACATAAGTGCATCATGTTGTGAATCATACTCTGCTACATTTGAGAACTTGACTTCATACATACACTAAAATAATTCACCAAAACACTAGTTGGTCAAACATGTTCTGAGAAAAGCTGTACACTAATTTGTTTTCAAATGAGACATGGTTTAATATTTTGAATCCAAATCAACATATTTTAGATGTTTTATGCTACTTAGATATCCAACTATTTGTGTAGCCTACCCACTTCACACTAAAGACAATCACATACAGTCCAGAAACACTTTGAGCCCTATAGCCCTTCTTAATCTGTCAGCTCCAGATACAAAGATAGTCATTGAAGTTCAATCCTTCATGCCAGAAACTTCTGTGGTGTCATTATAAAGACGTGTAACTCACAGGAATACCGCGCTCTCTGCTGCTCACTGCAGGAACTGCTTCTGACTCAATACAGTCTTGAAACACATATAACTTACTATTAATATAAACATTATGACCATGGCTGCTGGTGGTGAAGGGATTGTGACCACAGTTAAGGTTTTACAAAACTGAACTATTAATATTAGTGATTTTCATTTATTTTTGGAAGGCTGGGCTTAACCTAGGCTACCTATTTGCAAGAGATTAGCCTTCATGGTTTTCCAGGAAAGCATCTTTAAGTTCTGTTATCTAAGATTCATACATTTCTATATACTCATATTCACATGTTTGAATGAGAGAATAATTCTAATTTCTTTTAGGCAACCAAACTAATTTGTCTGCTAACTAAAAAGGCTGTTCTCAATATTTATCTATCAGGCCAAATATGAAAATGAAAAACATAATAGCCTATTTGATCAGTGAGTAGAATATGAATTTCTGGTGAAAGAATACAACAAGCACTGTAATGCAAACACTGAGCCATTTGATTCAAAGAAGATGATCTTACCTTTAGTTTTTTGTTCAGTTTGCAGCAATATCTGTACAGCATTGCCAGATTGAGGGGTCCAAAATCTGCATAAAAGCTTGAGACAGAAATGGACCATAAAGTCACCATTTGCCATGAAATGAAACAATTAAATATGACCAGAACTTTACATGGTCAGTTAAAAACTTACAAAGACTTACTTTTCATATATAAATTCATCATCTGTGCAGAAGAAATGTGTGTTTGCTGTGCTCTTGGGTTTGCCTCTGAGAGTAGCGAAATACAGTCGATCTGGGGGAAAGAAAATACAACTGAATAAGTAAGTAATAATAATAATAATAATAATAATAATAATAAATGATGGTAAACCACTTTAAATCTCTTACATAACATATTATATTGGCTTATTGTAGCTATATAACTGGACTATACTGTAAAAAAAGTTGCAGCCTTATTTTTTTTAAGTACAACTATAGTCATTTCCATTTAAATCTTGAATCTTGTATAAAGTTATTTTTAAGAGTTAAAGCTATGTAAAAAAAAACATATGTTGTCATAATGTAGACTATCATTTATTTTTTTTACAGTACATTCTAGCAATCTGAATATAAACTACAAGCAAAAGGTAACACATTTACATTACTTTATATTATGTATATAATGTCCATGCATAACCGACCTGTAAATCTTTAACACTCGCGTGCAACATACGTAATGCTAGGATATGTTATAAGATATGGATTGGGTAGATTAGAAAATAGGTTATATTTGTCTTTGAACCTTTGTTTTATAAAAAAAACGATATAGTATGTTCATCTTATTACCTTTGATAAACTCAGAGGATCCAAGCAGCTCATTGTCATCTCCCATTTTATTTAATACTGAAACTTCGGGATGTTTAAATATTTCCAGGAGTTTCGTTCCAACGGGTCGTTATATTGGAACATCCGGTAATTTAGAAAATAAATGTGTTTAAAAATAAATCCGTTATATCGAAGACAACACAGTCCTGTTATAACCCACTTCTGTGTCCCATAAGCTCTTCTGTGTCGAGTATAGACTGCAAATCCTCTAAATCTCTTCCGAACGGAAGGTGAGTTAAACACATCATGTTTTCCGTCAGTTTAACCTCATATATGTTCGTGTCCGTCAGTTTTCCGTAATCTTTTGCACTTTTATTGTGCTGGAGTTCCCTCGCACGTTCTTCCACGGCTGAAAACTTCACGATTAAAGTTAAAGAGACATTGCCTAGTTACCACTTGCCACACCACCACACAAATTCGTGTTGCTAAGGAGGGGGCAGTTTCGACCAATCAGATTACGCAGTGCTTGCTCTGTTTGGATCAAAGCTTTTCTCAGTCGCTTTGATATATTTCTCGAATCACCCTTTAGATTCATTCATAGACTTTTTCATAAAAGAAAAGTTTAGATTAGCAAAACTGTGTGCATTGATCAAACCAGCTAATTCAAACAGCAGCACACAATGTATTACCTGCAAATTTGTCAAAATCCTTAGTTTATCTCTCAAAAGTTATGCCAGTGAACCAGTCCTTCAGATGTGAACTATTTTTGATGACAATGTATATATTATAATAATGATTGAAAACATGATCCACAATAGTGCCCTTATTTCATCAGAAACGTGTCTAATCTGGTGTCTTCTCTCTTCCTCTAGTTTTCCTCTGTACTCTTCCACCTCACGACACGTCCTTACTTTTCTTCTTCCTGACTGTTGACCCTGTTTGTTTCCTTTGTTGTTTTTCCATTGTCAGAATTTGTAACACTGTTGTGCTCTATATAGTATATGCTTGCCGAATGATGCACTTCTGAGATATTTTAGAGAACTGGTTGATCTAGTGCTTTATATTCCCCTTCGTTAGTAAAATTCAAAATTCACCAATTCAGGACACACACACGCACACACACACACACACACACACACACACACACACACACACACACACACACACGCACACACACACACACACACCCACACACACACACACACACACACACACACACACACACACACATATGGGTGATTCTTCAATTGGGGGCTATTTTGCCATCTTAGATTTTGATTAATGAAATTTGGTTAAATTTTGTTAGAATTATGTCAAGACAATGTTTACATGTTTTGATGTAAAGATATAATAATGGCCGCAACTGAGCTTAAATATTATTTGAGTATTTTATATCTATTTGTCAACTGGCACTTCAAAATGTCATTCCCATCACAACATCAAAAAGTCTTATAACGCACAGAATGTATCAAGGAGGTCATTTAAACTCATTTATCTTGCAAATAGTTTTAACCTTTAACAATGCGTATAAAAAACAAAATGTTTCCACTCAGCGAATTACGGATATTTTCTTGTTCTTACCATAAAAACGTATTTTTCTGTGTTCGTCAAAGCACACTTTTGTTTAATTTCTGGAAAATTAATTTTAGATGTTTTTTCTTTGAATAGGTGAATGAGTATTTTATTAGGCTTTTCATGTAGCACCTCAGGATTGAACATAAAACATTTTTAAAGGTACATTTGCTGTAAATTAAGCAACGTGGCGGTAATGACATACTGTTCTGGTAATGACATAGTGTTTTGGTAATGACATAAATGAAAAGTGCACTGATACGTAAAGCAAATTTAAAGGCTTAAAATAATGACTTTTGGTGAGTGTTGTTAAAAGAAATCGCCCTGGTTGCGTATGCAACCCACCGTTCCCTGAAGGAGGGAACGGAGGACGTTGTCGACTGTTGACTGAATGGGGATCGCGCCAGAGAGCCTATGTTCTTCGAGTACTATTGAACGAGCCAATGTAATTGGCGTGCGTGATTTGCATCACACACTCCCGTCACTGTAGGGACCGCAACGTATGGACCCAGCCTAACACAGGTTCCACACTGCTTATGAGTGGTAGGCCTAACACCGTCGAGCTGGTACTGTGTAGTGGAAAAATGCCTTAAAGTGTGAGATTACTTTAAGCTTTCCTGTTTCTTTTCTTCTTTTGTATCTTTCTTTTTTTCTGTAAACATACTGCTGATATTTTACAGGATCTCCCTTCAATTTTTTTCTATAATCTCTAGACCTTTCTGTTGATTTCTTGGAAGCCATTCTGGTTAAAAAAAATAAGAAAAAATTGTTTTATGAAGTAAGACCTATCACTTAAGTTTCACTGTAAAACCACAGTATTATGCTTCTTTAACTTAATTAATAAACACACAATATGATATAGATAGTGACACGGAACATGTCATTACCACCATCACTTGTCATTACCATCACAACAAGTTGTGTGTTGGTAATGACGTGTTGCGGTAATGATATTTTTAATTTTTTTCAGGAAAAAAAGATGCTAGGTCATGGTTTTGCTAACATTACTCAACAGCTAGTACAAAAAACTTTAAATACACATAAATCATGTGAATGTATATATAAATGTATCAAAATATTGCTGCTACAACATTTATGGTAATGACGCTGAATAAGTCTACTCCATGATCAGAAAGAATTCAAGATTAAATAACTTACTTTTTCAGACATCAAATTTCACTGTTCTTTCATGGCTGACATGTGCTCCACTTCTAGTCTTCATTTCCATGGTTACGGCATAAACAAGTCTCACCCTCAGAAATATCCTTGTTGTAATTATAGACTGTTGCGGTAATGACAGTATTGTTGTGGACAATACTAAATTGTTAAAAATATTCACAAATTGCACAGATATTAACCCGAATTATGCATCAAGTGCCTTTTAAAGTTACTGTTTAAACATATATTGTAATTGTTTAATGAACTGATTACATTTTATCACATTTTCAGAGCAGACAAGTTTTGAAGTCTGGGTTGGGGACAAGGCCTGAATAGCCAAATATTAGTGATGAAAATAATTTTAAAAATGGAAATCATACTGATTTTTGTGTATAACATTTTTTCGTGGTACAACAAATATAATTTTAAATAACTAAACTGTTTATTTTATAATATTGTATTTTTAACATGAATGTATAACCTGGGGACATAAAAGTTCCCCTAATTGAAGAATCACCCATATATATATATATATATATATATATATATATACTGTATATAGTCTAAAAGAAATATATAGAAACCCAGTATAATATATTTTTATCTACATGACATTTACAGTAAGCACTTGATCATGTAGGAAACATCAGACAATTGTACAGAATCAATTGCATTACTGAACCAACCGATAGATAGATAGATAGATAGATAGATAGATAGATAGATAGATAGATAGATAGATAGATAGATAGATAGATAGATAGATAGATAGATAGATAGATAGATGATAGATAGATAGATAGATAGACAGATAGACAGATAGACAGATAGATAGATAGATAGATAGATAGATAGATAGATAGATAGATAGATAGATAGATAGATAGATAGATAGATAGATAGATAGATAGATAGATAGATAGATAGATAGACAGATAGATAGACTGATAAATAGACAGACAGATAGACAGACTAATAGATAGATAGATAGATAGATAGATAGATAGATAGATAGATAGATAGATAGATAGATAGATAGACAGACAGACAGATAGACTGATAAATAGACAGACAGACAGACTGATAGATAGATAGATAGATAGACAGGCAGACAGACAGACAGACAGACAGACAGACTGATAAATAGACAGACAGATAGACAGATAGACAGATAGATAGATAGATAGATAGATAGATAGATAGATAGATAGATAGATAGATAGATAGATAGACAGATAGACAGATAGATAGATAGATAGATAGATAGATAGATAGATAGATAGATAGATAGATAGATAGACTGATAGACTGATAAATAGACAGACAGATAGACAGACAGACAGACTAATAGATAGATAGATAGATAGATAGATAGATAGATAGATAGATAGATAGATAGATAGATAGATAGATAGATAGATAGATAGATAGATAGATAGATAGATAGACAGACAGACAGACAGACAGACTGATAGATAGATAGATAGACAGACAGACTGATAAATAGACAGACAGATAGACAGACAGACAGACAGACTGATAGATAGACAGATAGATAGATAGATAGATAGATAGATAGACAGACAGACAGACAGACAGACAGATAGATAGATAGATAGATAGATAGATAGATAGATAGATAGATAGATAGATAGACAGACAGACAGACAGACAGACAGACAGACAGACAGACAGACAGACAGACAGACAGACAGACAGACCTGTGATGTGTGTTATCCAGGCTGTTGGTGGCACCATGGCTGGACGCCTGCGCTTAAAGCGCCAGTGTCCCCTCCAGGCCGGCACATGGGACATGCCTTCATTGAGGTGCGTAAATGGAGGTAGAGTATATTGCTGATGAAGAATCACATCCTTATGTCGTCTCCCATATAAACTGGAAGCAGCCGCACATAATTTGAGTCACAGAACGGAAGAAATAAGCTGCATTTCTCCAGAACTTGTCGCAGCTCCACCCGCCAAAGTGCTGCGAAACAAAGGTAAGAGGGGCTCAAGTGACCGCCTCGGGTTACAGCTCGACTTCAGAAAGGCCCGGCTCCGGTGCTGTCAAAGGTTTCCGGTTACTCTTAATTCCCATAGAGGTGGGAATGTCACTGCTGAATTCTCACTCTCATTGGGCTTGAAATTCAACCTCTGTGACACACTCGTATAGTCTCTGCCACTATGAAACAGCATGGGCTTTTCACCACTGCAGCCGTCTGGAGTCCCGTTCTCTTGTTCAAGGTTCACTGGCTGTGGGACAGTGCGAAGGTACACCTGAGATGAGGACATGCTTAGAGGCCAGAGTCCAAATGGAACAGGGTTTCTAATAACAGGCAAGGTCAACCACAGCGTTACAGGAGAGCTTATCAGCGCTGTAGATATTTGAGAAACACTGGAAGAGGAGCTCTTCCCCACAGGATGCGGATGACATGAAAGATATCATAAATGCTGCTTGACATGACATGATGTTTAACATGAGATAAAAGTATGTTATTTGTAATTATGACATGGCTGACTGATTCGAACATCAAATATTCTTGTATAATGACTGCTAAAATGTATTATTGATCATCGTCCCCCATGTATTGTTTACTAAAAAATAATTCAGGGGACCTGTTGTAAGTTCTACTCAATTTGAACCAGTGACGGGCGTGCTAACAAGGATACAGTCGCTAGTGCGCCTCTTGAGTTTACACCCCTCGTTTC